CGATTTTTGTTTCAATCTTCAATCCCAGAAAATAAATACCAAAAAATTTTGTAAATTTTTTTATGGTCTAATAATTGTTGGGTGTTGTTAAGTCTCCCATTTACAACCAATTTGCCAATTATAGAAAATATTGACTAAGCTAAAAAATTTTGGGAGACCAAAAAGGTCTATTAAAAATTCGGTTTTTGATTCAATCTTCAATCCCAGAAAATAAATAACAAAAATTTTTGTAAATTTTTTTATGGTCTATAAATTGTTGGGTGTTGTTAAGTCTCCCATTTACAACCAATTTGCCAATTATAGAAAATATTGACTAAGCTAAAAAATTTTGGGAGACCAAAAAGATCTATTAAAAATTCGGTTTTTGATTCAATCTTCAATCCCAGAAAATAAATAACAAAAATTTTTGTAAATTTTTTTAAGGTCTATAAATTGTTGGGTGTTGTTGAGTCTTCCATTTACAACCAATTTGCCAATTTTAGAAAATATTGGCAATGAAAAAAAAGATTTGAGAAAACAAAAGGAATTTTTAAAAATTCGATTTTTGTTTCAATCTTCAATCCCAGAATATAAATACCAAAAAATTTTGTAAATTTTTTTATGGTCTACTAATTATTTGGCGTTGTTAAGTCTCTCATTTACAACCAATGTGCAAATTGTGAAAAATATTAACAAATAAAAAATGTTTTGAGAAAAAGAATATTATTTTCAAAAATCCTATTTTTCTTTTAATATTCAATCCCCACAAGTAAATTCCAAAAATTGATTTACATTTTTTTAATTTAATTAAATTTTTAATTTAAATTTATACTGCTTTGTGAAAGGTTAAGTTAATGAAAATTTTTTTTAAGAAATTTAATTTTCTTTCATAAAAATAAACAGTTAAAAAACATTCATGCTGAATACAAATCTTTCAAAATATATATAAAAATGATTTACCTGAATTTTACTTCATTTTTAAAATTAAAATCCGAGATTTTTTCGCTAAACTCCACAATCCTCTTTTAATGCTCCAAGCAACGTATAAAATATAACATTAATATAACTGTATAAAATAAATAACACCACAAAATATAATCACACTTTAATAAAATATAAATCCGTTTATCGTAATATTAATGAAAAATCATTTATGTGTACATATCATTTTGTGCTGTCAAGTTGACGTTTCAACAACAAACTAAACATCGCCATAGTTACCAAAATAAATGTTTTAACTCAAACTATTTAATTTGCCAATTTTGAAAAATATTGGCAAAGGTAAAAAATTTTGGGAGCCAATAAATGATTTTTACAAATCCGACTTTTGTATTATTAATATTATTTAGTTCAATAAAATGTCCTACAAAAATGAAACAACAGCGATATTCAAAAATTTAATTTTTTTCACAATTTTATATTTTTTCCAATAAAAACCGAAACTTTATGTAATTTTTTTTAAGATAGAATTTTTTTGGTATTATTAAGTTATTAATTATAAATGAAAAATAGTTATTTTTAAACAATTTTTATAAAATCAAAAAATTTTTTGAAAAAAAACAGCCTTCAAAAATATAATATTCAAATCAGTTTCTCTCGTTGTCAAAAAGTCACATAATTTGAGGTAATTTTTTTTACAATCTATAAATGAATTAGAAATTTTGAAAGGTTCATTTAAAATCTTTTCCATTTAAATTAAAATTATTTTAGTTGAATAAAAAACGAAAAATTATTAATAATATTTGAGGATATGTTACTATAAATATATATTTGAATATATTAAATTATTTGTTTTCATTCAATTTTAAAAAATTAATTTTGCGTTTATTGGTTACATTAAACTTTTTTCTGTTTTTTTAATTCGATGGTGTTTCAAATTTCCATGTTTCAATATATTCAATATTTAATCACCATACCATTAAAAATGTTTTTTAACTCTTTACTAATTATTATTAAATTACGTTTTAGTTAAAAAATAAATATTTATTTTCAATATTAAATCAAAATATTGACTCGCATTCACACAGACGTTAAACTGACGTTTAAGCAATAATAAACGTCGCCATGGATACAGAAATAAAAGTAATTTAAATTCAATCGATTAAGGTAATAATTATAAAAACATCAATTTGAAGAAAAATTAATTTAAAAAAATTCAAGGCATATGTTGAATGAATTAAAAATTTTCAAATATAAAAAAAATTAAATAATAGACATTTTTAACTCGAATAGGAAGTTATGAATGCGCATGCTCAGTCCGCCATGACAGTCGGTCATATTCGAAAACACCATGTATTTAACATGGTGAATCAAAAAATTACCACCGGAAGTTATGATTATTATTGAAACAAATCTACCTCCTTTCATGAAATTTATTTTTATTTTATGTTTTTAATAATTGCTTTTTCTCTTTCAGGCAAATCAAATAAAGTTCCTGTTCTAAGTATCGATTCAAACTTTTATTGTTATTTAGAAAAATATTTTTGACAAACTAAACAAGAAGGGGGTCCTTTATGTTTATTTCATAAACATTATGCTTCCTCATTATGTGAAGCAAAAAATTCGCTTCCTCGTGAAGGAAGCAATGAATTTGTCCAATTCAATTGATTGATTTAAAAAATTTCGAGTTAAAAATGTTTTAAATTAATTAAATTTTTTGAAAAATAAAGAAAATTTTAATTAATTTTGAGTGTAACATAAACTTTATATATACGAATCGATTCGTTTTAATGCAAGGAATACAATTATTTTATTCATCAACTTGAATTTTAAAAAAACACAAAATTTTTTATCTAAAATATGAATTTTCGATTTTTCAATTTTTATTAATTCTCAAATTTTCAATCAAATCTATACTTTATATATACCAACCAATTCGTTTCAATGCAGGAAATAAAATTATTTCATATATAAACATGAATTTAAATAAACACATCATTTTTTAGCTAAAATGAGAATTTTTGATTTTTTAACTTTCATTAATTCTTTAAATTTCAATCAAATCTATATTTTATATATATCAATCGATTCATCTTGACATAAAGAAGACGATTATATTATATATTACCTTAAATTTTTCGATTCAAAAATTTTTTCAATTAAAAAAAAATTTTTGGAAAAAAGACGATAAAATTTTTTTTTTTGGGTATTTTTAAAAATCCTCTCGTCATTTTTGAGAGATTAATGTGTTAAATAAGCCTACCAAATTTTACGCAAATCCATTAAAACCTGTTAAAGATATCGTGTTCACAAAAACTATCCACACACACATACACACACACACACACACACACACACACACATACACACACACATACATACATCCGGACAATTGATCAGGATCTCATACAACATGTTTCTATATAGAGGAAAATTTGTTTTCACCATTTTTAAAAATTTTATAAACGAAAGGACTACATAGCTTCCTCCACGAGGAAGCAAAATGTAACTATTTTACAATTTATCGCTAAAATTATAATTTTTTCATCAGTATCTACACTGAAAAAAATTTGGGCCACATTTCACTCACAATAAGCTGAGCAAAGTGTAGATAACTTTAGCGTAGTACAATGTCCGGCTAACTGATGGCGCTAGCAGCGTTACACACACATATATATATACCCTGTAGGCAAAAAACCATGTTCGTTCTAAAAACGTTTTAAGGACGTTCTTAGAACGTTTCATGTCCACCAAATAATGTTCTGGAACATTTTAAGAACATGGATGTTCAAATAATGTTCCAGAACATTATTTGGTGGACATGAAACGTTCTAAAAACGTTCTTAAAACGTTTTTAAAACGAACATGTTTTTTTGCCCACAGGGTATATATATATATATATATATATATATAATATATATTATTATTAGTTTTAGTTATTTAAATTTATATTCATGTTATAATATAATATTATTTGTCAACAATGTTTTATTTGAAATAGTTTATCTATTGCTATTATATATATATATATATATATATATATATATATATGAGGCATTCTTTGTCAACGCGGACACCCTTCTCGCCCAAATTCTTTTCATTTTAAATTCATGTTTAATGGCTTAAATTTTAGTTAAAGGAATATACTTTTGAAATCTGAGTGGCATATATCCAAAAACAAAATACAGGATCCAATATAAAGGTTATTCTTTAAATTTACCAATAAAAAGTTACTCTAATTCATTTTGAACAATCCAAAAAGTAATGTTTCAGGCCTTTTTAGCCCTTTGTATTTGGAAATATGCCACTCAGATTTCAAAAGTATATTCCTTTAACTAAAATTTAAGCCATTAAACATGAATTTAAAATGAAAAGAATTTGGGCGAGAAGGGTGTCCGCGTTGACAAAGAATGCCTCATATATATATATATATAATTTTGTGAATACAATTATATAGGTTTTTTATCAAACTCAGTGTCGTAATCTATCATTAGTTACAAATATGATGTCAAATTTTTATAATTCACAAAATCGGATTTAATTAACCTATTGCATTTGCAAGCAACTTGTTACTCTATTCTTTAATTTTAAATTTAATGTCATGTTTATGATTATCAACTTCAAATACCTACAGGTAACAACGTTATTGAATATAGGTATAACAATGTTTTAAACGAAACATATTTATTTGTTTAAATTAATATTATCATTAATACTTAATTTAATAACTATAGAACTGTTTATGTTTATCCTTTAAATTGGAAGATGTAACATTCATATGTTATTTTGATAACATAGAATGTTGATTCTTTCATCTGAGAATGCGTATTGCAACAGTAATGTAAATGAAAAATGTCACAATAGTTTTAACATTGAATCTTATTGGAATTTTATATTTTTTAATGTTTATTTACGTACTACAATATTCTTTATTGTGTTGTGTGTAGAAAAAAGTTATTTTAGAAATTTTGAATCCGGTGATTTAAAGTTTTAACCGGTGGTTAAAACTATAAAATTTTCTTAAGATTCTCATTTTATATTTTGTTAATCAATTAAATTAATATTGTTCTTTATACAGTGATTCAATATGAGCAGCAAGAAGAAAAAAGTAGATTCTGCTACAGAATTCTATGCTGAATTGGAAAAATTATCCCCATTTGAAATACATATAAACGATGGAACGTCTATATTAAAATTCAAAGTCGTCAAGAACATCGACGTTTTACATCTAGACGTAGCGATGAAGGTTTATTTAAATTATAATTGTTATAAAATTTTACTTAATTTGATTAAAATTTTTATTAATTGATTCAGTAATATCAAATCCACACACAAGAACTTGTACAAAATATTTACATGTTCAGCAGCTGAACTTGTACGAGAAAGTGTACAATTTCATCACCAGAATTTCGAACAAATTCCTGTATCAGAACATGTACAAGCTATTGTACAGTAATTATATTATTATAGTTATTATAATAGATCTTGTATAATCGTTTTCTTAGGACTTTACAACTGCAAAATAATTTTTAGGATGCATAAGAGCAAGAACATGTATACTTTCTTATATACAAATATTAAATATATTTTCTTGTACAAGATCTTGTACAAATTCTGATACAAAAACTTGTTCCAAATTCTAGTGACGAATTTGTATATTTTCTTGTACAAGTATAGCTGCTGAATATGTACATTTTCTTTTACAAGATCTTGTATAAGGATTTTTAATAGGGGTTCTCGGGAATATTTCCAAAAATAATCTCTCGGGAAAGAATTCAACAATTTCTTTACCTGTTCTTACATACTAAATACGACCAAACAATAGGGTATAAAAAGTTACATATTATATCTAAATGTTTTATTCGTTTATACTTGCAGTATTTCAAGGAGTGTAAACATAACTGATAATCCTGAAACATTTTTAACCATAAAAACTAACTTGAACATAGAGCAAAGAAGACAAAATCTTCTTCTGTAAAGGATTGCACTACAATGAGTTATTTCCTAGTTTGTCAACACATTGTGTTACAAAATAAATGTATTAAATAACTGATGGTCGATTTTCTATCTTCGCAATTCCCCCAATCAACATCCAAAAGTGCAATCAATATCTTCTTGATCATTCGCAACGAAGCTGAAAGCTATAAAATCACTGGAATTCTCATCCATTATCAGAACCACATTTTCGTAATACGAAATATTGGATTCTTTAATACAATCTTTCTATCTATGTCCGTTGTTCTGATGAATCATGTTTCTTCCTTCCTACATCATATAATTTTGCCTCTTCCTCCAACAGTATGTTCTTGGCAAATGCCGATGTCATTGATTCACCCTGATAGTATCTTTAAATGTACCGTGATTTGAGCTTCCTTGTTTTACAATCAATTTCGTGTTTAATTATTCAGTAGTTTTTAAATTCTAACTCGCTATGAAGTATTTCCATTATTAAATTTAAAGTTTCAAGTTCGTACTATCAAATAATGGAAATTTATATTTTTCGCCGTCAGACATTTTAACTACGCTAATCAATCAATCATAAATTATACCCAAATCCCAAAATTGGTTTTAAAATTTCATATTTAAGTGATTACTTAATTCCATGCCTAAAACCTGATAAAATAATAGTCTGAAAATAAATTGATTTATACATTTATTTTAATTTCTCAATTACCTTATATAAATTCTCACGCACATTAAATTTTGTCATCCTTTCGTTTATGATATTAACGTTTTTTGTATCAATCACATTCACGCATACACTATTTCAGTCACTTATTTTTATAAGGAACATTATAAAATTGACATTTAAAAACTGAAGTAAAAAAGAAATGTTAACAAGTTGTGGGAAAAGGATCATTAATTGCATCGCGTTATTAATTTTTAATAACAGATTTATCACTGTTTGACAGTTATATATGATATTTAATATAAAGTATTTTTATATTTGTTTTAAATTACTAATTAAAATTTTTTTTAGTTTACATTTGAAAAATTTTCAACGTATGTTACATTCATCGGAGTTGAACACGAAGAAATGGTATGTGTTTCTCAAATATATAATCTTATTTATTAAAATTGAGGGAATGAATTTAATAAATGTATAGGGGTAAATATATTACATAAGTGTGTCAAAGACACAAAAGTTAAATAGACTTCACATTCAATTTGGTAAACTGAAAGACTTAATAAAAGCAAGGAAAGTCGACTGGACTTAAAATTCTGTTTGCTAAGCAAAACGAAAGTAAAATGTACTTTTAATTTGGTTTGGTAAATCGAAATAAAAAAGTATAATGTTGACTTTTGATTCCGATAGCATCCGTTGCTATGTGACTATAAACTTGAGACTTAGAACGTAATAACTTAAGAGGTATGACTTCATTTAGTTAGAGAACCTAGAATATTGTGACAAACTTTGGTTTTGTTTAAAAAACGATATCAGAAGTACATTCTACATTTGAATCATTTACTAAACCGAATCGCATACGTAAATCGAAGACAAGCAATTATCAATATGATAGTTTTTATTGAATCAGACACATAGAAAAATAAGAAACGAAAGTTTCTTAGAACAAAGAATATGTGTGTCACGATATATTAAACGTGAGAACTATTGGGATTTGCTAAACTGCAATACGCCATCTGGTGTTTACCTATTTCTGACAACTATTTTCCTTTTTCGTATTTCTTTAATTAACACGATAGAAAGAGAAATAAGAACAAAATGTCTTTTAGTTACAAATATGACAACCATATTGACTTATATAGAAACATACCTTTAAATATAAAAATAACCAAAAATTTTAAAAAGTTTACTTTGAAAAATATAATTACCTATGATTTTTAAATAATAATTAATTATTAATAATAAGTAATAATTTTTTTACAACTTTGTTAAATTGCATGTAATAATTTCAACCACTAGATTCAAAAAGGTTATATTAAGTATAAAAAATAAATTATTCTTAATTTCAGTAAAAAATTCGGTTATGATTGTCATATTTAATTTAAAATTATTAATCAAATAAACTTATTTCTAAAAAATAATAAAATAATCCTTTATACACTGTACGATAATATTTAACTTTTTTTGACACACAAAAAAATCCAACATTTCCGAAAACTAGGACCCAAAAAAAATTACCCATGTCTGGCCGCTTTGCTAGATCAATTCGTTTGTGGTTCTTAGGGGTGAAAACAAGCCCTAAATGAAAAGTGACAAGATATCTTTTAAAAATTATTAATTTCTTATTAAATTTGGTATCTGAAGGTTCTCGGGGTCGTTGATTATTAATCTGATGTCAGATTTTCAAAATTCAAAATGGTGGATCCAATATGGCGGTCAGATTTTTTTATAAAATTTGGTATATAGGGGTTTTTGTGGTCACTGATGTCGAATCTGATGTTAAACTTTTAAAATTTTAATTGGTGGATATGATATAAAAAATTAATAACTTTTTAAAAATTTGATCGACATATTGGATCCGCTATTTTAAATTTCGAAAATCGGACATTAGATTAATAATAAGCGACCCCGAAAACCCTCAGATACCAAATTTTATAATAAATTAATAATTTTTAAAAGATACCTTGTCACTTTTTATTTAGGGGTTGTTTTCACCCTTAAAAACCGCAAACAACTTGCTCTAGCAAACGGCCAGACACGGGTAGATTTTTTTGGGGTCCCAGTTTCCGAAAATGTTGGAATTTTTTGTGGGTCAAAAATCGTGTCGGACGGTAATATAATACAGCCCCTCAATTACTTTATTTAAAACTACCAAATAATAAAACTCATTTAACTCTGCACTTTTTTTATTATCTAGGCTCAAATCGCGTACGTCGTCATATCTAAGTCGAAGCTGGAGGAGGATCTTTTAGTATTTTTGAAACAAAAATTTGAAAAATTTAATTTAAATTCAATAATAGGACCATTAGACAAGGACATATTTTTGTCTTGTCAAAATGTGTTCTGTGGAATAAAATATTCCTCTTCGTGGTTCCATATACGACAGGTAATCGCAGTAAATATGCAAACACAGAACAGCACTGGTTTTCTTGCAACAAATAACAAAGTTGTTCTTGGTATAATTCATCATTCAAATCACAAACTCGGTAGTAAAAAAGTTTTTAACCATTATTAAAATAAACTGCGTTTAAGTATTTAAACTGTTTTAAGAATTGTTTAAATATCCTTATCAGTCAAATAAAAAATACGGGAACCGATCTCTTTCTGGTATAGGAAAATGCCTTTCATTCGTCCGAATAATTATTTCCTTAGTGAATGAAAGACGCTGGAATTGTTTGTAAAATTCTGCAGCATTCGCGAGTAGCACTGAAACCGCTATTTCCTCCACGCTCGAGTTTTTCTACTTTGATGTAAGGGACGATAAGAAGCATGCATATTTATGCGTTCCCTTTTAAAATAACAAATTTATAATTATCATAAAAAAATTACCAAAAACAACTTTGAATTATTCAATAGCATTTTAATTTTTTTTAACCTGTGTAATAATTCTATGGCTCCAAAAGATACTATCACAACTCTGGCGAGCTCCCAGAGGAAAAATTTAAGGCTTACTTTTCTAGGAGTAAATTAGGGTAGACAGACCCTCCTTAAGTGTCTGGAATGTGCGCAAATTTCCCTTTTTCCACGTTTGGATTTAAAGTAGTGTCTAAAAATTGATTAAAGAATTGAAAAATTTTGAAATTGCTCTAGTTCTATTAATTTTTTTGTTAATGTTAATGTTTGTTTAATGTGTTAACTTGTGTGGAAGTTGGAACAAATAATCGACACTCGGGATTAAAAGTAAAGGAATATGAGTTTATTAGTATAATTATAATAATTTAAACAGAAATTGTACAGCTCAAATCGGACAACAATCTATATCAAGTTCATTCGCCATAAAACACCACAAAGGCTTAAACGCGAGACATTTACTATTCGGAACTATATTTCCAATTACGAGACTAAACTCAAGCACACGGTTACTCTGTGTCGTCACGAGACGCTCTCTTCTCACACGGCACACTGTTGCCAACTTAACTATCCTAAATCATTCATGCCACTCATACAATGCAACATTCACTATATCATTCGTCCATCCTGACACAAACTTGGTCTCTAAGTTTCGCGCACAATTTTCTTAAAAAGGTACAATAAAATTAACCGTGGAATAATAAAAATTTTAATTACAACTTTTTTTTTATGAAATCCTTACAATACTGAAAATGGAGTCTGTTTGGCTCCTTTCGAACTCTTGAGCTTCGCCTTCACTTTTCCTCGAAAACATCGAATCAATTTGACTAACATTTTCTGAGTCGGACTTTTCAAATTCTGCTATTTCAGAGGTTTCAGAGTCTGAATTTATTACAGATGCTTCGATCGTCGATACAGTCGTCTCAATTTGTGAATTTTTGCATTCTTCGTCGCTTTTGTCATCGTGACCTTTCCAAATGCGCAATTGACTAACATTCGCTGTCGTTTTATTAGCTTTCGAGGGTGAAATTAAATGTTCGACTTTTTACGTATCAGATGGAAGACATTCAGTGATAACTAAAGGTCAACAGCACGAGCTTGCACTTTTGTTGATTCTCCAGTTCCGACTACCTCCGCTCTGATTTCTTCCGGAAATTGAAATTTCTCGGACTCTTCGGTCAATTGTCTCGCAAGGCCATCGTGGAATCTAGGTATATAGCCGTAAATGATCTCGAACGGTGTTCGTCCCGTTGTTTTGCATATAGAAGTGTTTAAATTGCGTTCCAATTTCGGTATACCTAGGTCCCAATCACGGCCTTCCAAGTCTGTAAGACTAGTTATCAATGCGGCAAAATTGTTCTGTTTAGTCGCTCAACTTGACCGTTCGCTTGGGGATGGCGACTAGAATTGAGTGTGTGTTTGATTCCGTGACTACTAAAAAAAGATTCAAATTTATTTGAGGTAAAAGCGGTACCTCTGTCGGTGATAAAACGCTTTGGCGCTCCGAATCAATTAACAAATCCTTCTAACTTTTGAACAACAGGCGCGGCTTTTGTACTAGTTACCGCGTACAATTTCAAAGGGTCGTGACCCTGGAGGAATCGGGTGAAACTCACTGGCTTGCTTTCCCGATTTTCTTTTCGCGAAGATACATTCCACACAAGACGCAATATGTCTTTCAACATATTTACGCATATTTGCAAAAAAAATAGAATTCTCGTATTTGGGCTAACGTTCTGTCTACACCAAAATGACTACTTAAGTCATGATTTTTGATTACTAACGCTTTTCTCATGGTTCTCGGTACAACGTAAAGTTCTTTGTTATCGACAATTTTGTACAATAATCCGTGTCGCAATAAGTAGTCTGTTACTTCGCCTTTTTCTCGTTTTGTGCGGTTACATTCGTTTTTTCGTATAATTTTGATTTTTTTGTGCTAGTTTATCGTGGGTATGTTGTTACATACTAATTTCGTCTTCTCTGACGTATACATTACAAACTATTCCGTGATTACAGTAAAGGGTATTCCTATTAACAAATGTCTTAATCTGTCCACGGACCAAAAGACAGCTAAAAGCTCCAGCTTACTCGAATGGTATACGTGCTCGGTTTCGGTAGTTCTCCTGCTAATGGTATAAACCAATCGTAAATTTCTTTTGCCTGAGCCCTGAAAAAGCATTGCCCCTAGGCCATCCGCGGAAGCATCGGTATGCAGTTCGGTGCATATTGCTTTAACATTGAAATATTCTAGAATCGGTTTTGACGCAATCATTTTTTTTATAGTTAAAAATGCTTTCTCTTGGCGTTTGTCCCAGACGAATTTCGTGTTATCTTTAAATAGTTCTATGATTGGCCCAATTATTTTCGAAAAACTTGGAATGAATCTACGAAAAAAGCTTGCTAAACCGTGAAATTGATGTGCACGATGAATATCGGTCGGAGTAGGGAAATCCACGACTGCCTGAACATTTTTATTACCAGGACTGATACCATTTTTATCGAAAGTGAATCCTAAATAATCTACCTGATCCATTCCGAATCTGCATTTTTTTTAAATTCATCGTTAATTCGGCATCTTTTAACAATTGTAGAACTTTTTCAAGTTTCTCTAGCAACTCATCCCAAGAACGCGCGTGGATCAAAATGTCATCGAAGTATGTGATTGCCAGCTCGGGCCCATAACGTCCAAAAATCGTTCGCATTAATTTGGCAAAATAAAAGGGAGCGTTCATGAGTCCGAACATGGCGCGCTCAAATTATCTGGTTTCAGTGGGGGTGATAAAGGCCGTCTTTTCTTTTGCCGATTCTGTTAGGGGAATTTGCAAATATCCCAATTTCAAATCTATTATCACGAAAATAATAACACCGTGCAAAAATTCTAACCCGTCGTCGATATTAGGGAGTGGAAAGACCATTCGGATTGTGTTCTTATTTAGTCGTCTGTAGTCTACAACTAACCTTATTGTCCCGTCTGGTTTTACGGTAAGTAAACATGGACTAGCGTACCGTGAATTCGTTTCTTTAACAATACCCATGGTTTTCCATTCTCCAATTTTTTTATTCATTTCCGTTTTTTGAGTCGCGTTTATTTTGTAGGGCCTGGAAACTACAGGGACACTTTCCGGTTTTTCTTGAATGTCCATTTCAATTAAGTGGGTGCTTCCTAATTCGAAATCGTTCATTGCGGAGCAAGTTCTATATTTATTAAGCAAATCTAACAATTCGATTTTCCTATCGGAATCCAGATTTTTACCTGTGATTTTGTCTGTCTCGGTAATCGGATCTCTTCTCGGTTCTAATTTAGGAGCTGTTCCTTGAACTGATAAAATGACTCAATCTAATTTTTCACCGGCTCGAACGAAAATGTTGTTTTTACTTTGGCAAACTATGATCTCGCCTTGAATCGTTGTTGTCACTCGCAGTCTTGCGACGTTCATCATACTGCTTTGCTGTATCTCGGTTGGCGCTTATCCGCTGTCGGCTAGTTGTTTCCAGTGTCTCCAGTTCGATTATATTTCGCAAAATGTCATCGACATCGAAATGTCCTCGGGATTAAATCGCTGTGCTGATGTGCTTGGACCAAAGTCCGATTGTTAGTTGTGTTTTAAATTCGTCCATCCCCAACTGTAACGCCTTGCACAAGCGTAATTTATCGAAGAAGTATTCTCGAGTGTCTTCTTCACGCCGCTGACATCGAGACTGCATGTCTTGCCACTTTTCGGTGAGTGATTTTTCCACCATGAAGGTGTGTGAAAACGCTTTAGGAAATGTTTGCCAGCCTTTGATATTGTCGAGGTTGGCTAAATACCAATTTTTGGCCGCTTTTGTTAAATGACTCCTCGCTGTTTCAAAAGCAATCCCCTCTGTCCACCTGTGTAGATTTGCTGTTGTCTCTAATTGTGTCAACCAAATCTTCGCATTAGCAGCACCCGTCAATCCGTCATATTGTGAAATATTGTGTGATAAATCGGGTAATACGTTGTAAAGAGGCACTGACGGAGATGGCTGATTTGCCCTTGCCAACAGTTGTGCGTTTTGAGTCATCATCGCTGACATTGCCGCTATCAGCTGTTGCATTTCCAATCCAGGTGCTGGGGGTTGAATTGGCATTGGATTTTCGAAGTGTTGTTGTTCACTACTGATAGGATTACCACAGTTATTAAATGAGGCCATGATTTTAATTGCCTGCCATATTTAATAAAGCTTCAGCAGCTTGGTTTGTGCTATTGTTTAAAGGACCATTTGACAACATTGTTTGCTTGTCGGTAAACCTCGGTACTTTCGATGCTTTTCGGTATTCGGGTATATTCGAAAGTCTTCGTTTCATATATTGGGAGAGGAAAAAAAATGGCTTCCAATTGCACACACACGCACAATCTCGGCGTTCTCGTGTGAAACCCACGCACTATTTCACATGATGCGCCGACATTTTTACAGTCGCATATTAGATTTTCTCAACTTTTCAAAACTTTTTCAACACTTCACGAGCACAAGTTATAGTTATACAAATATACAGTTCCTTGCACGTTTTAAATAGCTAGCATAAGCTACTAATCCCACTTCTGAGTTGTTAACTTGTGTGGAAGTTGGTACAAATAATCGACACTCGGGATTAAAAGTAAAGGAATATGAGATTATTAATATAATTATAATAATTTAAACAGAAATTGTACAGCTCAAATCGGACAACAATCAATATCAAGTTCATTCGCCACAAAACACCACAAAGGCTTAAACGCGTGACATTTACTATTCGGAACTATATTTCCAATTACGAGACTAAACTCAAGCACACGGTTACTCTGTGTCGTCACGAGACGCTCTCTTCTCATACGGCACACTGTTGCCAACTTAACTATCTTAAATCATTCATGCCACTCATACAATGCAACATTCACTATATCAAATGTTAATTCCAGTTTTTGAAGGGTAATTAAAGAAAAAATTGTGTGAAAATAAATTTCATTTTGCTTTAATCAAAATAATTAAACAAGTATTTTTTTCTATTTTTTGTATTTTTTTAATCGAACTGGGCCCTCTTTAACTTTTTCAACCAATTGCAAATTTCCCTTTTTCATATTATATCTGTAGAAAGTTTTACATAGTTAATACAAAATACAGATGCGCACAAGAGTTATAGTACCAAATCCAGGAGCTCGCTAGAGTTGAAATAGTGTTGTTTGGAGCCATCTATTTATTTATTTAAATTATTTAGATTATGAAAGATATTTGGATGCGCAAAAAATTAAATTTAAATGGAAATGAAATTTTAAACATGGCATTGGCATTGCCTCTTCTAAAGGAAGAGAAAATTTTTGAAGGAGCAGCAACAATTTTGGCAAACGTGAAAAATGAATCCGAACAAAATTTTTGTAATGAAATTATGGCTTTATCAACCACACTAAGTTCACAAATTTGTGTTTTGAACAAAAAAATTGAACGGCATTCCTCTATTCTGGAATCAACAGAAAAACAATATTTGTTTTTAAAAAAATGCAAAACGCCAAATGATTTAATCGGTAATATCAAAATATTTAACAATTTAATCTAAATTAATTATTATGTAAAAGGGGCTAAAGGCAACTATTATTGAGTAGTTGCATAGGAAGAATCGGTTTCAAACCGATAAGATAATAAGGAAAAGATAATTTATTTAATCATGAAAGTAGTCATTATTACAGCCTATGATTTGTTACCAGCGCTATAGTAAACAATATATATTTGTCCGTTAGAAGTCCAAGTCTATCTTCCTAAAAAATTGTCGCAATGCCATTCCTGAGTCTTAGCGTTTAGCAAATTGTCGTCTTCGCATGTAGCTATCCATTCGGATACGTTACAATTCTCGATAAACTTCTCGTAGCTGTTTAGAATACACTTTAGCAGCGATTGTTTGACCAGGTTCCAAAAATGTATACCACACGATTCCTGTGCAACGCCACCATACATACAACAAAGTTTCACGTTAATGAATATTCCCGAACAGTTCCGGGAGAATCGTCTGCTGATAACCATTAATACTTACGTCTATGATTATCGTACTTAATACTTTTTTCTTCACAAGTAGTCACTCAATTAAAAAATCAGTACGAGCATAAGACTTAAGTCTTAAGAACTACGGACGGATGTCTGAGTCTTGTTATAAAGGTTTTGGCCTGAGGCCACGAAAACCTAAAAACGACTCTTTTTGTTACGCGATCCTAGTCATATATCGTCACCTTAATCAACAAACCTCGAAACTTAAATTTTGTTCAAAATTTACTTTTTGGATTATTCGATTCTTTACACATAAATAAATATGCATTTTAAATAATACGACTCCTAAGCAATAAATATAGTTTAAAAATTCTACCCAGCAAACCTCGTAACTCCACTGCGAAAATTTGTTAATGAAAAAAAAATTGACAAATTTAAATATAAAATAATATATACTTGAAGTTGTTCACGAAGAAAAATGTCTGGTTGTACTATTTCAAATTTATATTTGTGAAAAGTACTAACCTCGTAACTCCTGAAAATTTTAGTTTATGTAAAGTACTTACCTCGTAACTCTTTAAATTAAAAGAATAAGTAGTTGTAAAAAGAGTAAAGTTTAAGATTTTCATATAATATGCAAAATGAGTCTTTTAAAATCTAATGAAATTGATACATTTGCCCAAATATACTATTTATTGTTTATAAACAGTTTTTTAGCTTTCCTATAAAGTTGCATGAAATGAAGTTACGAGGTTTGCTGATTAAGGTGACGATATATGAGACACCGTTTCTAAATGCGTCACGCATTGTCTTTAATATATTAAAATGATATGCTGAACTTAAGTTCAGCATATCATTGTAACTGCAGGCGCATTATTTCAGATACACTATTTTTTAAAGCAAAACAGATTAAAAGAAACCATACGCTTTTCTCCATTATTATAACCACTTTTGCATGAATAATAGTAATTATATACATTAAATATTATTGGTTCACGTGTTGTAACTACGGGACAACCTCCGGCGTTTGGATAATTTCTCATACGTCCTTAAATGTTATATCTAATTAGCCCTTTCCATAAAGAAAGGACCTTTGTCAAGCTGTTATTAGGAAGAACCATTTCTTCAAAGAATAAATAGTCTGTAATCTAATAGCGTTTTCTCAGAAATTATTAAGACATAACAGAGAATTAGTTATGAAATTTATTTTTCCTCTTTACATTTCATACATTTAAATTTTTGCCTCTTTTGTATTAAGTCTGAGCAATACCGCTGCTTCTTTAAGGTCTACATTATTCCCTATGAGTTTCTTAACTTGACTATAACCTGTAATCGACTGACACTCTTTCTATTGTTCTGTATCTTTCCACTGTTTAAATTTCGAAATCACATATTTATCAGATACACCAACTATCGGCTTAAATCCGATAAATTGTTCTATTGCAACTATTTTGACTAGTTTATCTGCTACGTTTTTATAATTATTTCTGCTGTCCTGGGACCCAGAGACAATTTGTCATTTAGTTACATAACGATTCAAGGCATAAATATCTGTCTTCCTGACAGAAATAATATAGATATTTTTATATCAGCAACATTCCAGGGTCTTAGTGGCACCAAAGAATATGGCCATTATTTCAGATCATAGAACTGTAGTAGGTGACCCCAGACAAAACAAAATCCTGAAATCTTCTGATTCACGATAAACTCCTACATTAGAACAACTCTTTTCGTCTATTACTTAAAAATAAGAGGTAAAGGTTCCAGTCGGAAAAACATGTTACCGTACCTGTGAAACTCCACAAAACAAACATCCTTACTTCGTTTAGGTGATCTTTCGCCGTCTTTAGTTCAACCATTGATTGTTTGCGTGTACTTTGTATTCTATTTGCAATATCAACTGTCTGATGTTGCTGCTATTAATCCAATGGGAAATATGTCCTTTATCAACAAGAAACAAATAAATGTCCATATCTAAAAAGCTGACATGAATGACTTTAAGTGACCCTTCCCCTATTTTGAGGTCATGTAATTAATAAAAGTACAATTAAAATGTTTTATTATATTTTTGATTCTAAAACATCTTAAAAGTAATTATCAAGTATCCTGGTAATAAGATAATTCTATTTTAAAATACATAAATTAAAAACCTTAAAGGACGCATAGTAGTTTCCTTTAGCCTTTAAAACTACATAATAATTTTTGTTATGCATAAGCGAAGAATCTTAATGTTTATAATTCACCTTACCGGAAGGGTGGTACTGGAAAATTGGAATTGAGAGCTCACTACCAACTCAGTACTAATTTGGTGCATTTTGGTCCTGAAATAGAACTGGGAAATTTACCTGTGAAAATGTTTGAGTTACCGTTAATACCCTCATAAAAGTGACAAGCGACTAGCTTTTGTAATTCAATAATATTACATTATTTAAATGTAATTATTTAATGATAAATTTTAGATATTCATAATCTGGAAATATTAACGAATCTCTATATGTATTTTTTAAAGTTGAGTTATTAAAATTACAAATTTTTAAATCAATAAAACTTTAGTTAAAATTATAATCCTTTGACAAAGGACCTAGCGGTCTATTGTTCAAGGAGGGATTGCAATATAATTTCCAAACTTAACGAAATTTTCTACAAACTATTATGTTTTTTGATGTTGTACATGCATATCGTGAGAGACGTTCTGTTGATCTAACATACCTTTAAAACTAATATTAAATTACTTTAGAAATGTCTTCTTATGGGTTATCAGGTAGTAGTAATAAAGTGGAACTCAAGCCAAGTCCAATTTAGTACCATTCCAGTACCACTCTTTCAGTAGGGCATTAAAATATCAAATTTTTTTCAACAAAATGTTTTTGCAAATTTACTGCACAACAATATTTACATTTTTTTACAAGTATATTTCTTGAATAAGATCTAGTAGAAGTTCTGATGCAAGAACTTGTTCCAATTTCTTATATCTGAACTTATACAATGACTTTTAGTAAGAATATATTCATTTTTACTATAACATATAATATAAAAAAATTTTCATCACAATTCACATAACTATATAATACTATTTCACGCTGACTATAATTAAAGAATGCTTGCAAAAATTGGAGGGTAAATTGATCGCGGTAAAATCTCGTTCAGAGATAAGTGCGAAAATGAAAAAAACAATATCCAAATACACGATTCAGCCTGAAAAGTGAGTTTAATTACTGTTATATCATTTTTATAATATAAAGTCAGATATTCTAATCAAATTAACTCTTTAAATATTACATCAAATGTTTAAAATATTTAATAAAAAATTAGTTGACTAGACAAATTTATCGCATGACAGTTTAACAAAATCAAATTTTATAGATTTGTTAGTTAAAATAGTTATGATCTGATGGATGAGAGTAATTATTCTACTAACGTTAAATCATATTATATACTTAAAAATTAATTTTATCGAAAAAGAGACATGATTTTTTATTATTGTTTTTACATTAATTTAGTTTCTTTGCCGCAAATAATATAAATATAAATTTAGATTGTCTGTTGAGGAATCCTTAACAATTCTTTCACACGAAACTTTGAAATTTGGAAAATTCCCAAAATGTAAGTTTTTCTTTCATTTAATTCATTTAAGCACTTTTTCATTGTTTATGTAATTGATCAAATAATTACATCTTATAATATTTCTATATTTCATTATATTTAATTTTATAAGTAGAGAATTAAATGTGACCACTGAGATTTACAAAAATTTTCCTGCATCCTTATAATTTTATTAAATTTTACTTGTATAATTTAAAAAAAAATATTTATTTTAACCATTAGCAAATGCATCTTAATACTTGCTTTCATTTTTAAATTGTTTTTCTATTTTAAAGCGTTTATTTATAACATTTTTATTTTGTAGTATTCGATACATTCCAATATGCATTATGTCAGCCTTCAAAGGATTTAAAAAATTTGGAACTGTTTCATGAAAAAGGAGGTATTTTTCATTTAATATTATATTCAGTAATTAAAATTAATTTATAAAAAGATTTCTGACATTATACATACAAAAATATAGTTTTTTCTTTGTTTTACCAAGGAATTAAAATATTTGCATAACTCTTGATATTCAAAGCAGATATGATTACATTTGTATGACCATTTTTGTTCTAATCAACTAATTGGTAATCACACCCTTTGACTGGTCTAATACAATCACTATGGAACTGACATCAGGCTTCCAACTTCGCAGATAAAGGTCCTTAAGATCTTGCTTTCGCGACATCTGCATTGACGATCTTTCTGTCCTATATATTTCTTGTCCTTTCAAGAGTCTTCTACTTCATAATAATCAAAGTGTTGATAACACCTTATAACCATCTCTCTTTTGTGTATTAGGCACGACACAAAATCCTACTTTATGCGATACAAATACTTCAGCCAGTCCGACTCTTCTTGTTCATTGACTACAACTGTGAGTTTCATACCTCCCCATACAGCACCTAAACTTTTAGCAATATTCGCTACATTGCCATAATATTCTAAAATTGATACAATATTGAAGAAATTATGATACTAATGAATGAATGTTGGAAACATTGCTGACATTTTAGGAGCTGCAAGGGTCGCTCTTTATGTCCTAGGATCGTCACCTCCTTGCTTCCTTGCTTTTTCTACACTTCTTGCAACTATTGTTTCAATATTTCTTCCTGGGTTAGGTAACGTTTTAAACGTATCTTAACCCAGATAATAAAATGCTTGCATTATGATTAGCCAAATGCTAAATGGATATCCGATTCATCTTAGCGAAGTATCAACTGACTAACAGATTAACTAATTCTTGAGAGTTTGACGAACATTTTCTTTTCTTATGTGATCTATCTCATGAACATCTTAAATCTTACATTACGCAGTAACACTTAAGGAATAAAATAATCAAAGAATTATGCAATAAATTATTTTATAAATAATAATTAAATATATGACTCTTGAAATTTTATAAGTAATTTTATAAGTTGTAAAAAGTTTTATATGCTTCTTTATATATAAACGTAGAAAACACGTCTGATGATGATTGTTCAAAGACCGATGAAGCTCCATCAATCAAAAGAGGTATAATTTAAAATGCTATAATAATCGTAATCTCCATTTAAAATTAAATTATAGTATATTTGAACTGTTATATAAATATATATATATATATATATATATATATTATATTAATATAATGAACTTAATGTTTTACACATGAAGAGAATTTAGTTACTCTTAGCGTATGAGCAAAAGCAGTAGATGTAGTATCCAGTAGTTGTTGCAGCATTTGTGTAAAAGCTGTTTGTATAACATTTTCAATTACGGTTTTATCAAACTAAAAGTCTTTTTGCCGTTTTTCTATTAGCATGCCATAAGCATGAAGAGGATTCTAATTCCCCCTACTTTTTTACTGGTGATATCGCCTGTCTCTTGAATAGACACTCACATGTGTGGACAATATGCACAAAAAGTTTATTAATATTTTAATATTTGCTTCTAATTAAATACATCTCTTCGTGCTCAAAACTTGACTCTCATAAGCACCCTGTGTTTCACCCTGTATCAATAAACATTAAAATACTCATACGCTAACAGAAACATTTAATCCTTCTTGTCCTAGATTTGAAAACTCATTCTTATCATATTTTAAGTACCAAGATGAATTGCAAAAATAAAAATAACATTACCTATGTATAAACTATAGGGCGGCAAGTTGGAGCAAAAAGAAATAGAAAAGACTCTGAAGACGCTGAATCGAGTTCAGACAGATCAGAACAGTCTCTAGCAAAGAAAAATGGTACAATTACAAAATAATACTATTAATAATAGTAATTATAATCGTTATTTCTGTGGCAAGGGTGCAAAAGTAGGGGAATCGAAACTTGGGAAAGTTTGACGCTCGAGCGAAGTGAATGCGACAATCATGCGAGTCGAGATTCCCCTATTTGTGCCCATGCACCGTACATAAATTTTTGTATAACACCTTGCGTCAAAAACTTGACTAAATCGCTGGCTTTTAAGCAATAGTGTTTAAAAGGAGGGGAAATTGTTCTTTTACGCACACTTTTTCCCTTCAATCACAGCAATTTAGTCGATTTTTTGACGCAAAATATTATAACATATATTGTGTTATACAATAATATGAGAAGTCTTAGTTGTACGTTATCTATTAAAATAATAATTTTTATCAGGAGTATAAATTGAAAACCGAAGATTTTTTGAAGTTTTTAATGTTTTTTGGCAAAAAAAATTACACATTAATTCTTCAAAATATTCTTCATCACTAGTGTTACTTACCGGGATATGAGCACGTGAAAATTAATATAATAAGTAATGCAACACAGGGTCAAAATGAATTAATAGTAATTATATTTATAACGTGGAATTTATTATATGATATTAATATAATTATTACAATCACAATAACGAGACTAACAATAGCGTTATCAATATGATTTAAATAATTACAATGGCGCGTAAATCCAGAAGCGGAGAGATTTCCCTTTAATTTATTGTTGACTTACATATTCGGCACTTGAAATCACTCCACAGAATTATCCATTGTTCCTTGGGGATTTACAACACGTAAAATAATAATATGAATTTAACACCTAACGAAATTAACACAGAACAAATTTAACACATAACGAGTTTTAATAAACAGTTTTTAAAGTAATTAACACTATTAAAATAACGCGGTGCTATTCAGTCAGGCAACTTCAATTGACGTGCATCTATCCACGGTCAGATGCAATAATACGCGTAAATTTGTCAGCCCTTGGCTATTCTAATTTGCCTTTTCAATTCAAGTCCTCAGACAATGACCTCTTTGCATCAGGTCTCATTAACAACTGCCCGAATCTTCAGACCCATTATCTCTCACTCACCGCTCCGTTCTCCTTTTTCCTATAAATTATTTCCTGTCGGCAACAAATAGCTACCACTTTTTCACCTATATATCAGCATACATATTTCGTGAGAAAAAAATTATTTGTCTTTAAAAGCAATCCACGAATCAATCAAATTTTTGGCTTTTTCCAAAGAACGGAAATGATAATTAAACAAACCATACGACATCAAGCGGAATACATAATAGTCGAAAGGGTCTAAATCTGTAGAATATAGCGGATGAGGTAGAACTTTACTTTTTATGTTTCAAGATAGGTTTTTACAACATTATCTACATGCGACCGAGAATTGTCCTGCTGTAAAATCACTTTTTTGTGTCTTTGGGAGTATTATGTGCGTTTTTATCTTAATTCTCTACTTATACACATAAATTATTTTTAGAAATTGCCCTGTTAATGACTTTATTCGGTTTTAAGAGTTGATAATAAATAATATTTCATTAACTCAGCATTTTTAGGTACAAAAAAATAACGCCGATAACAATCCACAACTGTAACGATAAGGAGTTATCCACAAATGCCCAAACTAACAAATCAAGCTTCTGTTTTGACAATTTTTTTCTAAAATTTGAGACTTGCACTAACTATTACAGAACGTCGGTTTTCAATTTATAATCCAGATATTACCAAATTTTTATTTTATAATATATATATTATATTTATTATATATCGCAAAATTATACTAATAAGTAAAGTATAATCATAAATCTGATATATATTGTGCTAATTGATAATGTAAAAAACCGGTAAAAATTCTATATTAAGTTAACCACTTTATTTCTAAATTCTCTATTTATATTTTTACACTCAATCTGGTTCAGTTTATATAAAACGAATGTAATTAATCAATTAAATAGGACAAAAAATAATTAATGATCATAAATAATTATTTAAATATTTAATTTATGAAAAAAGCAATGTAAATTAATTTATTTAAAATCTATGGCTACTTCCAAGATAGATACCAGATCCCGAATTCGTAGATTATATGAAGATACCTGCTGTCTGGTTTTAAACTTCACAATTTATTGTTCCTTGAATTTCGCATGTATTAGCCTCGACAATATTTTTAGTATATATATTTCTCATCAATGTAAAGACCCCGCAGACTTTGCTACCTTCAACATGATTGATATTAATCTTATTGCCGTACTTCTTCTATAAGAAACAATTTCGGCTCTCCTTACAGTCCAAGAACTTGATATCGACTTCTTTGTACTTAATTTACTGCTGGTTAAATCTCAAACTCTAAACGCATACATCCTACTTCCTAATTTTCCAAACACTTCTTTTTGGAAGTGTTTTCTTAACTAAAGCTCCTACCACTTTCGTGTGGCTAACGCCCTTCTTTTAAAACTTCATTGGAAAAGTTTTCTCCTTCTACCTCTTTTGCTCGTTCGTCTCTTGTAAACTACGAGGGATACTTAATCTTTTTCAGGCCTCCAGGACTACATGCCTTAGTACTCTATATTTAATTCGATATTTTTTCATAAATCTAAAATTTCGGCTCTGCACTTATAGCAATCATTGACGTTGTCCACTTCTTCCTTGCCTCCTTAATTACTGAATAAACTGCAAGAGCATGTCCTAAGACTGGTGAAGAACCCGGCTACCACGACAAGGTTTGCCGATAATTTACATGATCCTTAGTAGCAAACAACCATGGGTAGGAAGAATGAAACTTTTTAAATAAAGATGTAATTATTTATTTCGTAATAGTTTATTAATTAATTTCAATATTTTGACTCAAACCGGACTGGACCGAGTTTTAACTCAATAATGGTTGCTCAGTACACTCAATCAGTCAGTATTTAAAACAAAGTTGTGACAGATTTTAACGAGAGAAAAAGAAAAAACTAACTTATTAAACTAATTACTTCACATATTCAATTAGTTCAATATATTTCTTTATTTTTTTATCCATAAAAAAATATTTTAAAAACCTAAAAATATAAATAAACTTATAAGATAGTTAACAAATGCAATATTTGCTCCTGCTTCTCTATCTGCTTTTCTCTCATTCATAATGTACCGCTGTTAAGTTAATTATTCTTCATTAAGTAATAATAAATTGATAATATCATATATGTGTAAACTCAAATGAAATCTCGAATGGACGAAAATCAAAATAATACTGCTTCTGATGACTTATATAATGATACTTCACTGCAAATGAATAAAATTCAAAAATACTTTTCTACAGAAGAATCATCTAATTCAGATTGCGACTCAAATTCTTATGCAAGTGAACAAGGTATAATTAATAAAATATATTAATAACAAAAGTCATATATTACTACTTTATATAGAGATATGAACAAGTATAAATTTTCTTTTATATTCTATTTTTAAATAAATAGTCATATCACATATTTATACGAGAAAAACACTAACAAGTAAACCTACCCAAGTGTTAAACTCTGATTTGAAAGAAACTTGGCACGTTTTTAGATCATGCAAAAATAAGAGATACGTAAATCTTTACATTTGCTTAGAGGAAAGTTTAGGGAGTGAAACCATGCCCTCAATTTGCCAAACCCACCCCAAAAAAACGCATAATAATATCGAAGCTCATAAAAAGTATATTTAATTTCCATCAAACATTAAACATGGTATCTAAGGATTTTTTGGGTCGTTAATTACGAATCTCAGGTCAGATTAAAAAAAATTCAAGATGGCCGATTTCTCTACAGCGGACGAATTTTTAAAAATTGATTGAATTCGCTTGAAACTTGTTACTCGGGGGTTTTTTAGGTTGCTGATTATAAATATGTCAGTTTTCCAGAATTCAAAATGTCGGAACAAAGATGGTGAATTGCATATTATTATTTTTAAATTCATCCGCCATTTTGAATTTTTACAAACTGGCCTCAAATTCGTAATTAGCGACCTCATAAAGCCCTGAGTAACAAGTTTCAAGCGAATTACATTAATTTTTAAAAATTCGTCCGCCATATTGAATATGCCATCTTGAATTTTGTTAATCTAACCTCAGATTCGTAATTAGCGATCCAGAAAACCCCTAAATACTTTGTTTAATCTTTTTTGGAAATTAATTATACTTTTTATGAGCATGGATATTATTATGCGTTTTTTGGGTTTTTATTTGTCAAGCTTAATAGTTGGTTTCACCCCCTAAACCTTCGTATAAGCAAATGTAAAGAAATACGTATCTCTTATTTTTGCAAGATCTAAAAACGTGCCTATGTGTCATCCAAAACGGTCTGTAACACTTGGATAGGTGTACTTTTAAAAACTAATTTTTAAGCATACTTTGTATATTGTTTTTATTTTATTATCTAATATTGATTTAATTTCTATATTTTGTAGTTCATATAATTCCGTATTCAAGTTCACAAAAAATAAAAAAAATTTAATATAAATAGCGTAATATTATATTTACTAAATACAATAAAATAAAAGCAATATATTTTACCAGCATATAATAGTCATACTTAAAACTTATAATTATTTTTTAAAATTAAAATTTAAAAAAAATAATGTTGTTTTATCTTAAATTTTAATCGAACAAAATATTATAAAAATTATGGTAAACAATTTTTGAAACGTTACCCTTATTGACCCGTAGGACGGAGCGTTTTAAAAAGTTCTCAAATGCATGCGGACACAAATATTATTATTTTCGACACAAAGAGATCACGTGAAGCGCAAAAATCAGGTATATAATTGAGATTTTGATGTATCTATTTCTCTTATATACCCGTGTCGTGATATTTTCAATTCTTCTCATTTACAATTTATTGCTATTTACTTAATTATTTGCTACTAAATTAAACTGATATTCTGATTATCATCATTTAAATAACATTTTATATCACAATTAAATATATAAAGTTATCTATGATTGAACTTTAGAATCAACAATGAA